TCGTACATTGGTGATCTTCTCAGCCCCTGTACCCCCAGCAGGTCCCCGAGGTCCAGTGACCAAAGCCTACTGGTTGTGCAGCACCAGGCTAAAGACCAAAGGTGACAGAGCCTGAGCCTGAGATCAGTGGACTCAGTGGTCTCCTTTAAAAAACTGCTGAAAACTCACCTGTTCAGGCTTTGCTGTGACCTTTGTCACCACTCTCTCCTTATTCTGCTCTTAGTCTGCCTTTCCCAGGATCCACTGATTTCTCTCTTTTTTGTTAATTTGCTCTCTCTCTTTCCTTGCATTTGTAATCACAATATTTCCTCAAATTTTTATGATATTTATAAAAAAAATTTAAATCTTTTTTATCTTTTAAATTTTTGATCTTGTGAAGCATCTCGTGTTTGTTATCTTGATAGGCACTATATAAAAGATCATTTTCTTTCTTTAGAGAAATGTTGCTGGTTACTTGTTGATGTTTGCTAATAACTAACTGTACATCTACAGATAATATGTCTATTATCAACATTCTTACTGCTGTTTCCAACTGTATTTTATTCAGTATGATTTTAAAATGATGCTTAATAAATAAAATAACACATTTGTCAATCTTTAATGAATAAATAAATTAATTATGGTTTCTCAAATGAACGAAGATTTTGGAATAATTAATTGGATGTATAGACTATTAACTACTTCTCAGTACAATGGGGAAAATGTGTTTTTTTCTGGAATTAGTTTCAATATAAATTCATATTTATGTTCATTCCTGCCAGAGGAGTTAAGTGTCTGCCTCATCATGGATGGTTGCACGTTCGCACCCCGCTCAGTTTTTCACAGTCACTGTGTTGTCTGTGAAGGTTCTCAGTCATCCAGGTCATTGTAGTCTAAGGAGCTTTGAAAGAAAAGCATCTGGACTTCTTTGAGTTGCTTGAAGACGTTTCACCTTAGCCTAGTGAACTAGACCAAATTCTTGCTTTGCAAAGTTTGGTCTAGCCATGCTCCATTGGAACCTCCGCAGCTCCTACCAGGACTCTGGCTAGCCAATCACAGCTCTCTAGAGGGGTTTCAAACACATAAAGAGCTGTGATTGGTCCATAATGGTGGGCCAATCATAGTGCTCTATCTGCGGACCAGTACCTCCTCTTCGACTCACATCACCCTCTGGAACACAAACTTGGAGTAATCAAGACAAAACTCCTAAACACAAACTGAACAATGTGGTGTATGCTGTACAGTGCAACGAGGAATGCCCAGACCTCTACATCGGAGAAACCAAACAGCCACTTCACAAGCGCATGGCACAACATAGAAGAGCCACCTCCACGGGACAAGAATCAGCTGTTCATTTGCATCTAAAGGACAAAGGTCACTCTTTCGAGGATGCCAACGTTCACATTTTGGACAGAGAGGACAGATGGTTAGAGGAGTAAAGGAAGCCATTTATGTCCACTGTGAGCAACCATCTTTGAACAGAGGCGGTGGTTTACGAAACCAACTGTCTGCCATCTATAATCCAGTTTTGAGATCCCTTCCCAGATGCCTCAACACCCACGCATATCCTGGGCCATCTAACCTCAGGAATTCACATGATAGGGTGGGGCCAGGCTTCACAATGAGCTCACCAGAAACTGTGGCTGAATAGGACCCACACCCACCCTCACACCTTGGCTCATGTGTGTTGGGGTTATTAGGAGCGAACAATTAGTAAGCTTCAACTTACTTTTGGATTCTTCAATAAATTCTGTAAATATGTAAATATTTACTGATTTATTAATTAATTAAGATATTCTTAGATATACGGGGCACCATTCCCCTTTAACCGGGGAAAAATTGAATCCAAAACTCTTATCAGTCTTTCTTGAAGTTCGTAGAATCCTTGGAGCAGAGACTTCTCTTCGACACAACAAAGCTACTGGAGACGAAAATCTGAATTTTATAACGTTTAATTAACAATTTGTCAAATGAATAAACAGTGGCATAAATGAATAATAACCATGTGATATAATAAAAGGATGTATATTCAAAATAATGTTCAAGGTGTTTGTGTGGTGTGTGTGAGTGAGTGTGTGTGTGTGTGTGTGAGATGAATGGGTCTTTGTTTCCCCAGAGTAGGTGGGGGGAGTGAGCTGTGAGTGTGTGTGGGGCTCTTCCCCTCCCCTCGCATTCAACAGGAGACCTGGATGTGTAAAGTTTTCTACTTTCCTGAACACTTAGTGGCTTAGAATCACAGTAAAACTTAACTCAAACACTTCAAAAGTTAACAAACAACAAAAGGTCACTTGTAAATTATTTAATCTAAAAGGAGTCGGCAGCCTGGCCAGAGCTGACGACTAAAGATATTAGCGATGATCAATAAGCAGTTTATTCTTTCAAAATGACCCGAAGGACGAATTGGGAGCGAAAGAGGAAAACACGAAGCTACTTTTTAAGCAATAGCGCGGTTTTATTGCTTATTCTGGACTATAGAGGAAACGGGAGGAGAAAAGGAGAGAGAAAAATTGAGTTTTCTGATCACCAGATGAGCAGCAAGGCGTCCCAGCTGTTTGATTTGACGGTTCTCCGTTTTCTCCGCAGTTTTCAGCGTCATCCGTCGGTTTAATGCTTTCTCCGTTGTTTGGCTCCACGAGTGTTTCTCCACGGGCTGGACACAAAAAGAACGAAGTTTCTTTTGTGCTGAGTTTGACAACTTACAGCGTCTCTGAGAGCTGGATGGAGCTCCGCTCGTTCCCAGTCAGGTCCCGATGGAGTTGAGTGTAGTTTCCAGTGGTTGCGTGGGCTCAACTTGGGCACTTAGAGCTTCCGCGTGCTCAAGTTGTCGGAGCGTTCGACAAGCGTGTCCTTACCGCCAGGTATCCTGGGCAAAAGAACGAGGTTTCTTTGTCTCTGCTGAAGATTTATGGTCTTAGTTCGCGGGAAAAGCTCCACGGCTTCCCGCACATGCGCAGAACGTGTTTCTGGTACTAGGCGGTAACATCACCCAATGCTTCCGTGTGCAAAGCATCATGGGAAATGAAGTTTCTTGGCGCTGATGTGATTATTTGCTTTCCAGAGCAATTTAAGCACAGTCATTTTGGAGAAAATCACTGCATAGTAATTTCCTCATGAGGTCAGACCCTCAACATTCCCCCTTTTGGTTTCGGGGATCGCGCCCAAAGCTCGATCGTCGGAAGCACAGATGGGTTTGTTCCTCATGAACGTAGGTCGACTTGATTGTCGGAAGCACAGGTGGGTTTGTCCCTTAGGACGTTGGTCTCCTTGGACGCCTTTGTCTTTGGTCTTTGTCTTGGATCCTGGCGCCTTTGGTCTTTGATCCTGGTCAGGCACAAAGAGGATAGGAAACGGGATAGTCCCCAACGCGCATAACGAGAAGAAGCCACTCACGCAGGTGGTACGCAATGATGATGTCGTCCATGCGAGAGGTAGTAGTGTAGAAGGAGGAAGGTCGGTGGGCGGTTAACTCCACGAGTGGACACAAAGGCATCTCACCGCCGGCCATACAGTTCAGTTTATGGAGCACGCGGTGATGTACGAGGTCCATAGTTCGCAAACGCGCATTGACCTATGTGGTCCCAAGATGTGTTTATGTAGAAGATCATCAGGGGGTCTTTTGTTCCCTCTTCGGGGGGAAACTCCCACTGGGTTTGAATCTGGGACTCTCCACCATTTGACCTTAGAACTGAAGAAGCCTCTTGGATGAGAGGTGAAATGTCTTCAAGCAACTCAAAGAAGTCCAGACGCTTTTCTTTCAAAGCTCCTTAGACCAGTCACTGTGTTCTGTGTTCACAATGCATGTCAGAGCAAAGGAAAGTCATAACGTCAAAGGAACTGCCTGAAGAGCTCAGAGACAGAATTATGGCAAGGCACAGATCTGGCCAAGGTTACAAAATAATGTCTGCTGCACTTAAGGTTCTTAAGAGCACAGTGGCCTCCATAATCCTTAAATGGAAGACGTTTGGAGTGACCAGGACCCTTCCTAGAGCAGGCTATCGAGCTAAACTGAGTTATCACTGGAGAAGAACCTTGGTGAGAGAGGTAAAGAAGAAACCAAAGACCTCTGTGGCTGAGCTGCAGAGATGCAGTCAGGAGATGGGAGAAAGTTGTAGAATGTCAACCATCACTGCAGCCCTAGCAGTCAGGGTTTTATGGCAGAGTGGCCTGTCGGAAGCCTTTCCTCAGTGCAAGACACATGAAAGCCCATAATTTTGGCATAATTGTAAGTGATACGTATGGAGAAAATCTGGCACTGCTCATCACTTGTCCAATACAGTTCCCACAGTGAAGGATGGCAGTGGCAGCATCACGCTGTGGGTGTATCTTTCAGCTGCAGGGACAGGATGACTGGTTGCAAACGAGGGAACAATGAGTGCAGCCAAGTACAAGGGTATCCTGGACAAGAACCTTCTCCAGAGAGCCCAGGACCTCAGACTGGGCTGAAGGTTTACCTTTCAACATGACAGTGACCCTAAGCACACGGACAAAGTAACGAAGGAGTGCCTTTGCAGTAACTCTGTGACTGTTCTTGAATGGCACAGCCAGATCCCTGACTTAAACCCAATTGAGCATCTCTGGAGAGACCTAAAGATGGCTGTCCACCAACGTTCACCATCCAACCTGACGGAACTGAAGAGGATCTGCAAGGAGGAATGACAGAGGATCCCTAAATCCAGGTGTAAGAAACTTGTTGCAGCTTTACCAAGAAGACTCATGGCTGTTTTAGCTCAAAAGGGAGCTTCTACTAAATACTGAGCAAAGGGTCTGAATACTTAGGACTATGTGATATTTCAGTTAGTTAGTTTTAATAAATCTGCATAAATTTCTATAATTCTATGTTTTTCTGTCTATATGGGGTGCTGTGTGTACATTAATCAGAAAATAAAATGAATTTAATTGAAATAGCTTCAATATAACAAAGAGTGAAAAATTGACAGGGGTCTGAATACTTTCCATACCCCATACCCACTGTATGAGATTTTGAACGTTTGACCTTAATATAAATCCCTTTTTCCCCCCAGCTGTCATTCTATCATCGTCTAACTGGAGACAACAAGTCAGAGAAATTCTTCAAAGTCTTTTATGAGCGCATGAAACTAGCCCAGCAGGAAATCAAAGCTACGGTGACTGTCAACACCAGTGACCTGGGGAACAAAAAGAAGGATGAGGAGCCACCAGACAAAGATTTGCCAGCACGCAAGAAAGGTTAGCTGTGTTTAAGTCATGTTGTGAACAGGCTGGGCAGCTTAATTTTAGCCTAAACATTTATATTGGAAAAAAAAAATTGTTTTTGCTCATGTGAGATTTATTTGTCCAATGTTTAGCTTTAAACATGCTAATGAAGCTTAAAACACATTGATATTCAAAGCAACACTCTAGAGTTTTTAACACTTTAAGCTATTTCTTTCAAACTTGTTTCAGTGGTTCTTTAGCCTACAGTACATAGATGCCCTGTGGACTGGAGCTGCCTATTGAAGCAGGCATATTCCGCTCCTACCTGGCTAATAGAAAGTTTAGCGTTCAGACTGATGACTACTCCACCTCCTATCTTCCAGTGCAGTGGGGTGTCCCGCAGAGCTCTGTATTAGGACCCCTACTTTTCTGTATCCACTTCCTGCCATTAGGGCAAATCCTGAAGCAGTTTCGTCTCAACTACCACATATATGCTAATGATTTCCAGATATATATGTGGCAGTGGACACACCTAATACGGGCACTTCCTTCTGACTGTTTGACCTAGGTGAAGAGTTTGTTAGCGGTCAACTTTCTGCGACTAAATCAGGCGATTGAGGCAGTGCTTTTCGATCAAAGGAACATCCTCCATGCTCATATATCCAATAACCTTCCTGACCTCAACTTCAAGCAATGTGTGACTAGACTTGGGGAAAAATTGGATGCTGGTCTCTCAATCCCTAAAATTACTCAGTGGTCAAATCATTCTTTTTCTAACTGTGTCGAATCCTTAAATGGAGGCAGCTGGAACCCATTATTAAAGTGTTTATAACATCTTCCTTAGACTATGCCAGCAGTACTCAATAGACGGCCAGCGGGCCCCCTCTTTGACGACGAGCTGGAGGAGTAGGGACAGCGCAGGTGTGCAGTGCTGTTTCATTATATTGTAGGCTTGTGTATTGTGTGCAGAACCGCCAGCTTCCAGGTCGTTTTGTTGAGTGGCCCTTGGACCATTACATTTGAGTAACCCTAGACTGTGCTAATTCACCTTTGTCTCAGCATTAAATAGGCTACAGGTTATTCCAGATGTTTCCGCCAGGTTCCTGACCAGCGCTAATTATCGTAGTCACATTACTCCGGCTCTGACACAGTTTCACTGGCTTCCGGTAACCTCTAGGGTGCGTTTGAAGGTCCTGATTATCATTTTCAAGGAGCTCAATGTCCTAGCACCTCACCACTTATCTGAGTTGCACGACCCTTATGTCCCGCTGTGTATGATGCAGCCTGCTGATCTCCTGCTGTTCTCCACCAGGGGTGGGCAATCTCACTCCACGAGGGCCGGTGTCCCTGCAGGTTTTAGATGTGTCCTCGAACCAACACAGCTGATTTAAATGGCTAAATTAGCTCCTCAACATGTCCTGAAGTTCTCCAAACGCCTTGTAATGAACTAATCATGTGATTCAGGTGTGTTGACCCAAGGTGAGATCTAAAACCTGCAGGGACACCGGCCCTCGTGGACAGAGATTGCCCACCCCTGATCCACACCGTAGAAGAGATATAAATTGCAGGGGGGATGAGCTTTTATGAATGCTGCCCCACCACTGTGGAACTCACTTCCTCTTTTGGTCAGACAGGCTCCATCTCTACCCTGTTTTAAATCCTGTCTAAAGACTGACTTTTATGCCTTGGCCTGTGGTCGATGAATTTTATGTTTTGTACTGTGGTTTTATTGATCAACTGTTCTTATCTGTTATGATTTGAATTGTTGTACTTTGCTATATGTTTGTTTGTGCTGGTCAGCTCCCATGCTGTGTTTAAACCTGCTATAAGAATACTATGGTATGGTAAAGCGTGACCTAGACAACCAAAACTCGAGTGAACATCGTCACGGCTTACACTATTGGGTTTCGGTTTATAACCATCTAAAATAGTAACAAGCAAAGTCTTAATTATTTCATTCTTTTTTTCCAAACAGCCATCAATCCTACATTTCCCAAAATATGCAGAATCGCCTGCAAAGCCTGCGGAAGAATTAATTACGACTGTTCTAGTTCAGCTTTCAACCAGTGGGGGGTAGACGTGGCAAACTTATCAGCTGTTACTTTATGTCTAAATGTCTGTTTTCATGACATGTTTCATATAGACAGCCTTTTTTCTCTTTTCTTTGGCTCACTACTATTTTTCTGGCTAGCAAAAGATGTGCCAGCTGTAGCGCTGGTGACGGAGGAAGTGAAGGAGCAGCTGGTGGAGGCCTCTGCCATCACCAAGAAGGCCTACACAACCTATCGCCGCGAGGCTGAAGCCGAAGAGCAGCAAGCGGCTGCCGAAGGTTCGCCCATCCCAACCCCCGATAAGAACCAAGACGAAGGAGAGATGAGTGTCATCATCACCATCATGCAGCCCATCCTGCGCCTCATGCAGCTGCTTTGTGAGAACCATAACCGAGATCTGCAGGTCAGAAATCAGATCAGGGTGAATCTGAGGTGGATGTTGTGCCCAAACAGTCATCACACTCGATTATACAGAAACGAAACCATGTTGAAAATAGGCACCAGTTGCAGAACTTCCTGATGCAAGTTGTTTCCATCGTTTATGTCGTGGTCTGGTTTCACTATGAGGGTGTTTATTTGTAGGCTCCAGCAGCCCAGACAGAACACTTCCTTCATGCACTAGTTCTACTTGCTCCTAAACCTGGTGAAAACGTTCATCATCTGAGAGATTACCTGAATCCTCCTGCTTCAGTCCCCCTCGACCATCAGGAGCAGGATATTCACTTAATATTTACTTATCCAATGCACTGATATTATTTTGTCCATGTTTACTTAATTTTCTGCTTGACATCAAATCTCAATGAAATTGTTTTCATTTTCAGGGCAACAATTATCAGATCTTTGGTGTGGTGTTGCTGTGTTGAAATTCTAATTCCATCTTTTAGTTCTTTTTCAAACACAGAAAGGTTTTATTTACCTGCAATTAGTTTGCGGCTGCAAAGAGAGTTAATAAAAATGACATGAACTCATGAATATTTTCTTTTTTGGGTCATTCTGTAGAACTTCTTACGCAACCAGAACAACAAGAACAACTTTAATCTGGTGTGTGAAACTCTTCAGTTTCTGGACTGTATCTGTGGCAGCACCACCGGTGGGCTGGGGCTGCTGGGACTCTACATTAACGAGAAGAATGTGGGACTCATCAACCAGACAGTGGAGAGTCTGACTGAGTACTGCCAAGGTCCTTGTCACGAGAACCAGGTGATACATCTACACTCTCAGCACCACTGTGGAGGACCTAAAATGTCTTTTTTCTTCTATTGTGCTTAATGATGGTCGTTCTTCATCACTCAGCAGCCTCACAGAGAATATGCAGGCTCTTGTGTAACACCAGACAAGCCAGTTCTTGGCCATGTGCCTGTGTTTTTTCTTTGGCAAAGATAAACAAATCTTGGTTTCCTTGCACAATGGCAGTGTCTTCCCCTCCTGGTACTGTGCCATCTTTTTGTGGCAAGTGTGAAACTGACAACAGCGACTAACCAACTGGCTCAGCCAGTCACTGAAAAACTGATTAGATTTCCTTCAGAATGCTCAAGAGGGGATTGCCGGGCTAAATGCAGTTTTTTTGGTTTAAGGAAAAGACTTGCAATTCTGTGACAGCATATAGTGAGTTAAAGGAGAATTAAACCATTAAATCCAACTGAAAGGAAAGAGTTTAATTGTAAATGATGTGGCATCTGATTCATTTAGAGGATGCTGGTGTCACATTAGTTAATCCTATCCAGCTCCTAAATAAAAAAAAAAGTTTTTATAACTTACTTAAATTGTGTGAAAGTAAATCAGCATCGAGCCATTTTCCTAACCCAGCCTCTACTTAAATATTTTTTATTTAAAGTGACAATGAGTAGATTTTACGGTAATTTCCGTAATATCCATCAACTAAACAATTAAACGTTGCCCAGTTGTTGAAAAATATTAGTGGCTTCGTAACATATAACCATGAAAATTTGGTCTAAAATACGTGGGACTAGGTCTAAGGCTACATTCAGGAGAGGTGAAGTTCATCCACAGGATCAGGATCACACCTGTCAAGTCTCCTGTTTTGGGCTGGAACCGATTTTAAAAACTGTAAACTATTTTACGTCTTATTCCTGAAATCTTCCCGAATTATTATTAACTGAAAAATGTTCCGGTATTAAATAAATTCATGAAGAACCCCCTCCCTGCCTTCACGGAGACTGAGACTGGTGAGACGTTTCGCTCCAGCAGCACCTCCCGGTCCTGTTCTCATGCTCTTCTGTATTTTAAATTCCCAAACTTGACAGGATGTCCAGACAGACTCCTGAATCCTTCTGTCAGCGCTTGTCCTCAGGAACGTCAGCACACTACGCTTACCTCCGCTGACTCAGTGATGTAGAAGGCAGATTTAATGCAAAATGACTGTTCAGACTGCAGTCGGTTTCAAAAACATCATGTATGTGTCAGAATCGGTACCACATATGAGTGACCTGGATCGAATTTGAAAAAAATTGGATCTGTGCCGTTCAGACTGTCATAAACAAAATCAGATATGGGTCGCATGTGGGGAAAAAATCTGATTTGATGCGCTTTCGCCTGCAGTATGAAAGTAGCCAAAGTCTCTGGGCGACACCATATTAGACACCATGTTTCCTTCTACGGGAGCCTGTGAGGACAAAATACATTCACTGCATGTATTTTCACCATTCATAAACGTTGTTTTACACTTTTACCTCTTCACTCGTTACCAGCGATGAAAGAAAGTCTGATGTGCTTGTTATTTTGCTGGAGGTTGTGCTCCCAGGGATTTTTGACCCTAGTGGCCATCCGCTTGCTTGCAATGATTTAGGTATCTACTGCCCACCATCACCAGGCAGAATACATATAGTCACTTAAAAATTGCTTTGTTATATTTATGTTTATGTACACTCAACAAAAATATAAATGCAACACCTTTGTTTCTGCTCCGATTTTTCATGAGATGGACTTAAAGATCTAAAATTCATTCCAGATACACAATATTATCATTTCTCTCAAACGTTGTTCACAAATCAGTCTAAATGTGTGATGGTGAGCACTTCTGCTTTGCTGAGATAATCCATCCAACCTCACAGGTGTGCCACATCAAGATGCTGATCCGACATCATGAGTAGTGCACAGGTGTACCTTGTACTGCCCACAGTAAAAGGCCACTCTGGAATGTGCAGTTTTGTCTCAAAGCAAAATGCCACAGATGCCACAAGCATTGAGGGAGCGTGCAATTGACATGCTGACAGCAGGAATGTCAACCAGATCTGTTGCTCGTGCATTGAATGTTCATTTCTCCACCATAAGCCGTCTCCAAAGGCGTTTCAGAGAATATGGCAGTACATCCAACCGGCCTCACAACCGCAGACGACGTGTAACCCCACCAGCCCAGGACCTCCACATCCAGCAGGTTCACCTTCAAGATCGTCTGAGACCAGCCACTCAGAGAGCTGCTGAAACAATTGGTTTGCATAACCAAACAATTTCTGCACAAACTGTCAGAAACCGTCTCAGGGAAGCTCAACTGCATGCTCGTCGTCCTCATCGGGGTCTTGACCTGACTCCAGCTCGTCGCCGTAACAGACTTGAGTGGGCAAATGTTCACATTCGATGGCGTCTGGCATGTTGGAGAGGTGTTCTCTTCACAGATGAATCTCAGTTTACATTGTCCAGGGCAGAAGGCAGACAGCGTGTGTGGCGTCGTGTGGGTGAGCGCTTTGCTGATGTCAATGTTGTGGATCGAGTGGCCCACGGAGGTGGGTGGGGGGGTTATGGTATGGGCAGGCATCTGTTATGGACGAAGAACACAGGTGCATTTTATTGATGGCATTTTAAATGCACAGAGATACCGTGATGAGATCCTGAGGCCCATTGATGTGCCGTACATCCATGAACATCACCTCATGTTTCAGCAAGATAATGCACGGCCCCATGTTGCAGGGATCTGTACACAATTCTTGGAAGCTTAAAATGTCCCAGTTCTTTCATGGCCAGTATACTCACCGGACATGTCACCCCTTGAGCATGTTTGGGATGTGCTTGACCGGCGTATACGACAGCGTGTACCACTTCCCACTAATATCCAACAACTTTGCACAGCCATTGAAGAGGAGTGGACCAACATTCCACATGCCACAATTGACAATCTGATAAACTCTATGCAAAGAAGATGTGTTGCACTGCATGAGGCAAATGGTGGTCACACCAGATACTGTCCGGTTCTGAGTCCCCAGACCCCCAATAAAGCAAAAAAAAAACTGCACATTCCAGGGTGGCCTTTTATTGTGGGCAGTATTCTGTAATCTGCAGCAGGTCAGAATGTTTGCAGTAGCACATTTTTAACTGTTATTTGCTGTTGAAAGTACAATACACATTAATATTGATTTGGACATCTATTTTTTGAGAGAGGTAGTTTTTTTAAGTCCTATTTTAGCCCATCTAGTTTTGCTGATATGTTGAAGCACACCTTTGTCCTCACACCAGCTCACCAACTGCTCCCCCTCAGATCTGGAGGATGTTTTATCATTATTGCTGATTAGACCATCACTGCTTTGTCTTAAGCAAACGTAATGAGCTACTTTCTGCTGAATATAGTAATACTGCCATGTGTCAAAGGAGTAAAGACAAAAGGACTGGACACACATTCTTGTGGATCCCCTCAGCACATGAGAATATGTATCTGCTTAGAAAATCACTCTTGATTATGTATTTTTCATAAGGCAGGCATACAGACAGTTTTACTTTCTATCAAGCAACCATTCAGTTGAGATTCATCACCATGACAAACATAGAGTAGAAGTTTCAGCTAGTGTGATCTGTTTGTCATGGATGTATTGGAGGTTAATGGAAAGCATTTGGTTCTTATGGAGATCATCAGTGGAAATAAATGCAGTCTTCGCTAAATATAAAAATGTTAAATTACACTGTCATAATCCACTATCGGCTTGGTTATGAAGGAGTTTGAGAAATACACCGAAACATACAACAGTTTTTAAAACTGCCTTTAGTGTAGCTACAATAACTTCACCTTTTGTATGACCTCATCATTATTTCACATAATTTCACACCAATCCACCCAAAGCATTTTTCTACAAGCTGTTGAGGTTTATGGGCATCTGTTTATGCGGTGTTGTTATTTACTGTAGGTCTCAACTTTGACCATTGTAAAACATGCATGGCCTCCAATTTTTCATTTGCTTTGCAGAGATGTTCATGTTTGCCTGCAATATGCCAAACTCGTGAGGTTGCATAACAAATTTCTAAAGCTAACCATCCTAAATTGGAGGACAGTAGTACTTGCTTTGCTAGGGTTGTTGATGATGTCTTTCCTCTCTGAGTTTGTGTTAACACACCTGTATGCTCCATGCCAGCAAACTGCTTTTACTGTATACCTCACAGTTGATTAGCATCAAACGTATTTTTCATTTGTAGTCTAATCAGTGAGACATCTTCATGTATTCATTATCTTCTGTTTCTCAGAACTGCATTGCCACTCACGAGTGCAATGGCATTGATATCATCATTGCTCTCATTCTTAATGACATCAACCCGCTTGGTAAGAAGAGGATGGATTTGGTGTTGGAGCTCAAGGTGAGTGTTCAAGTGATTAGTTATGTTTTTTTTGTTGTTGTTGTTTTTTTGTTTTTTTTGTCTACTGATGCTTTTTTACTCTGCCTCTCAAACAGGGGTAAAATATTAATATAGGATGATCAAACTACAATGTGTGACTGCTTTGTTTGCAAAATGTTAGTGAATGTTATAACTTTTGAAAGTATTATCTGAATTTGCAGAATAATGCCTCCAAGCTGCTTCTTGCAATTATGGAGAGTCGCCATGACAGTGAGAACGCTGAGAGGATTCTGTATAACATGAGGCCTAAGGAGTTGGTGCGTACATTGTCATATGAAATTACTATCTGGGGCTGAGGGGATGCTCTTCTGATTGTGTGAAGTCTTGCAGGTGGAAGTTATAAAAAAAGCCTACATGCAGGGTGAGATAGAGGTGGAGGAGCCAGAGGAGGGTGAAGACAAAGAGGAGGAACACTCTGCGTCTCCTCGCAACGTTGGTCATAATATCTACATCTTAGCACATCAAGTAAGCTTCATAAAGTTCATGGATCCAACCTGCTCCTTGCAACTATGTTGTTTTAATTCTTGAATACCGTAATTTCCGGACTGTATAGTGCACCTCAATATAAGACGCACCAACAAAAAAAAGGTTTTCTACACACACGCCACACTCAAATACAAGCCGCGGCGCAGCAGCCACATGCAGGTCTGTGGCGCACAGCGCATGTACGGCCATAACATAAAATAATTAGACAGAAAGATGCTACACGGAGGTTTTTCGTTGTTGTTTTAATTCAACAAAACGAATTTTAAACACGGGTAAACACTGATAGCATTCATATTTCTGGATGGTTATAAGATAAAAACAGAACTAACACGTTTTTACTGGTAATTTGCATGTTCAGAAGGAAAGAACAGCGCTGACACAGCATTAATAAGCCCTGGATGATTAGAAAATAATAACTGCACACAAAACATGCCTGGTTAGTAAATAAAACACACTTGCCTACCAGAAAAAGTCTTTCGCTCTCTTCTTCCTCTTGTGCACTAAAGCCATTAAAGCCCTCTTCTTCAGTGTCGGAGTTGAACAGCCTCAGAAGAGCTTCGTCACGTACCTTTTCTGTGGCGATGTCAGTGTCGCTGTCCGTGTTGCTGTCATCATCCCCGGGTGAAGCTGGCTTGAATGAGTTCTTCCCGCTGCCGTCTCCAGCGCCGAGCCATGGATTCATTCATGCCAAGCTTACGTGTGGCAGCACTGTTTCCCTCCTTTACTGCCAGATCGATGGCCTTCAACTTAAATGCGGCATCATATGAACTCATACGTGTAGTTACCATGATGAGGGGGTATGGATTTGAAACAAATTCTTCGTCGTGCCGGCTTCTTGCATGTGCTAAATTAAAATGAGCACTTTCTTCGGTTTCCACTTTTGACTTCCACCTGTTTCACTTTCTGCTAAAGCGCCCCCTGGCAGGTGAAGGAAAGTCTTCAGTAAAGCCGCACCTCATTATAAGCCGCATGGTTCAAAGCGTGGGAAAAAAGTAGCGGCTTATAGTCCGGAAATTACGGTATTTTATTTCGAGTTAACTGGCCAAACCAGCGAATGTGTTTTATCTGGTAAATGTTGTGCCTTTCTGGAAATAAGATAAACAACGTATGGCAATGATCTGTTTCAGTTAGCCCGTCACAATAAGGAACTGCAGGTCATGTTGAAACCAGGGGGCACGTATGGAGAAGGTGACGAAGCTCTGGAGTTCTACGCCAAACACACGGCCCAGATTGAGGTCAGCTATTGCTTTGATGGATTATCTGAACAGTTTGGCATTTTCTACTGTCAGTAATGGGTTTTCTGTCAAGTTGTTGGATAATAGTTGTGTTAAGTCCTCATCATTTAACATTCTTTTAAGGTTTTTGAAAAGAGTCTTTAAAGTTTGCTACATGCTTCTGTGCAACAGTTCTCTCGAGGCATGTGATGGCTGTTTGTTTTCCTCTTGGCATGCGTCTGAGTCTTGTTGCGACAAAAAGACAAACATCTTTGGCATGTTTTCATATTTTTCTGTTTGCATTGGTGAGGAGAAGGAATGCTGATTGTTGACAGCTTTTAGTGTTGAAGTTGTTGGTTCAGTTTTCCATTAAAAAAAATACCTTTGATGTCTGCCTTGACAACTCCCTAAAGCAGCCAGTGCTAATAGTTTTGTGACCCGAGCAGTCTTTTGTCATTAAATATAAAATCAAAACTCGGTTTTAACCTATAAACTCACATTTCAGGTATTCCTGCTGGTATACCCTCCGTTTTAGAAATATATTGGTAATTAGGGCTGCCACAAACGACAATTTTATTATCGACTAGTCGCCAGTTTGGTGACGATTGGTCGCGACTAATCGTGTCATTCATAAAAGTATAGCTTTATTGCACGAGGATGCTCTAATATACCCATCATTAGCTTGTAGTTTTGTGTGATCAGTTATGTGCCATCTAATAATAAAGACAATAGCTAATCAAACTGCTTTTAATGAATTTTGTTGCAACATGTTAATACAAATGCTACAATGTCAAACAGATCAGATGTATGCAACTAAAACCTAAAATACAGAAAAAGACTTGAGCTCACATGAAATGTATCCAGCAAAATAATCACACAAGGTCCCGGTTTACACTCAGGAAAGTTAGTATTTCTACATGTTCAGGAGAAAGGCTTGCTCTCTTCTGAGAGTAGATGTTCCCAGCTGCAGAGAAGATCTGCTCAGATGGCGTTGAAGTGGCAGGGGTGCACAGAAAGGATTTAGCAAGCTTAGAGAGAGTGGGGAAATGACCCTGATTTTCCCTCCACCATTTGAGAGGATCATCTCTCTTAGAAATTGCAGCTTCACCAAAATACACCTGCACTTCCCCTCTCACTATGTGGACCCTTCTGTCCTGGAGATCTTCTTCCTCCTCCTGCTCACTCTCATCATCGCTCTCTGTGTCAGACTGAAGGAGGGCGTCCAGAGCAGAGTTCTTACCTACACCTGAATCATCAGCACTCTCCAGTTGTGTGAGCTCATCTGTCCCAGCTTTTGCTTCTTTGACAGCAAGCACTTCAATGGTCCCTTGCAGTCTGATGCCATCTTCAGGAGACAAAAACTTTAACTTCAAACTTCAAAATGGCCTTGGTCAGGGCGTTGGCTTGTTGCAGTGTGCACGTGTTTGGCCTGGTAAGAAACTTGTCCATTGTAGAAGAGTGCTTTCTTTTAGCACTGTAACATAGCGGGATAAAATAAATCATTAGTGTTTGTAACATTAGAGCTAATACGTGACACATACATACATGTTAAATGTATAAACACCATCACTACTGCTGTTGCTGCACATATGATGCTAGCAGCTAAAAGGAACACTTACAGAGGCGACTCTTCGTTCTCCGCCGTCAGCATCTTAAGATGCTCGTGCATCGCTGATGTGCTCCCGTGAAACGAGAGTTTCACCTTACAGAGTTTGCACTCTACTTGCTTCTCAGTTGTTTTCATAAAATGCTCCCAAACCTTCGAGCTCCGTTGTCGATTTGCCGTGATGCGTTTTTCTCCGGTGATTCTGCGCGGACGCTGAGCTGGAGTGGCACTACAGCGCATGTGCCTCCACTTATATAAGCAGCAGGGCAGGAAGCAAACGTGCCGAACGTGCTGAAAGTGCCAAACGTGCCGAACGTGCTGCAGCAGGCGAGATTTTAAAAATGCTCATAAAATAAACGACGCGTCAACTGTTAAATTAGTCGTCGACTATTTTTTTGTCGACGTCGACGTGACGCGTCGACTGGTCGTGGCAGCCCTATTGGTAATATCTCAAACTTTGAAAGAACTTCCCACACAAAATCTACAAATTTTATCCTCAACACAAAAATTTTATTTGCACACTTTCTGAGGGAAGTATTGGGCCCAATCTCAATACTCGCACTTGCACACTTGCGCCCTTCAATTGTGCGTTCCCTGCCAGGGGTGCGAGTGCGTAGAGTGTCCCGATTCTCAAGTGCAGAAGCTGACCACAGCCCCATTGCAGCGTCTGCACTTCACCCAAATCTGCAGCGATGCGGACCTCAGGCACGGGTATTACCCACAAGTCATTGCTTTGGGAGAAATGGCTCAAGTTCCTTTTCTGAAAATGTGTATTTTCTAATTAAATGATTTCATTTTAGAAAGATTATTTGATGCTCTGAATGTTTTAGACAAAGCAGCAATGAAGTTAAATTTATTTCAAATAATTGCTTTGTTGTTTGAAAGTTGTTAATAAAGGTTTTTTCACATTGCATGATTTTTAAACCTCCTACTGTTCTATCCGGTGACCCCTCCAATAAAGGTGATTGTTGAGCATGGTTGATGGTTTATCCCTTCGGGTCCACGTGGCGGGGTGAGGAGTGAGCACCACCTCACCGCTGCCACGTGGACCTCAAGTGACAAACCATCAGCCCTGCTCAATGGTCACCATTTCTGGAGCGGTCACAAAATAGGACAGTGGGAGGGTTAAAAAGAATGTTTGTATTGCAATGCTGCTCATAAGTATTTGAACACCTGAGACAATCGGTGTTAATATTTGGTTCAGAAGAGGTGGAATGTTTCTCTTAGTTCTTGACCAAGTTAGCGCACTTCAGTGGGGGTGTTGCCCAGTCCTCCACACAGATCTTTAGATCAGTCAGGTTTTGGGGCTGTCACTGACCAACACAGAATTTCAGCTCCCTCCAAATATTTTCTATTGATTTTAAGTCTGGACAGTAGCAAAGCTACTCCTGAACCTTGATATGCTTTCTCATGAAGCCACTCCTTGGTTAGCCTGGCTCTGTGCTTCAGGCCATTGTCATGTTGCAAGACCCCGGCAAGCCCATCTTCAATGCTCTGACTGACGGAAGGAGGTTGTTGCTCATGGCCCCATTCATCTACTTAATGCAGTGCAGTCGTCCTGTCCCCTTCTGTTAGCTTGGCTGACCAGTCCTTGGAAGCAATCCGTTTAGCAGAGTAACATCACAAAACCAGAGGACAGGAAAATTGTGTTATTTTCTTTATTGTTTTGCTGCGCAGACTTCTGCATCACCCACACAACTCTTTTCTCAGTGAAAACATCAGCTTTTATACATCTCCCTAATTGCGATAAACTGTCACCTAAAACCTCAACACTAAATAGAAAAGCTAATAAATATATACAATCATAGTTTCTTTAAAATATGTACACTCCACATTCATCTCTATAAATAAGCAGTGCTTATCATACATCAATACTTCCCACTATATTAAAATAACCCAATCAATCTTCCAATCCTCCTCTTGGTAAAATCCCTCTGGAACATATAAAAGATCCATACGCCCTCGAGGACTATTTTGCTCACACCTACTGGCAGGAAACAGGAAAGGTAAGCACACGCCCACAAAAGAAATGTTTGTTCCACAGCCATTTCCTTGTTCAGTTCTTCATATCAATAAATACCTTACTTTCCACTTTACAGGGTCACCTGCTAATCAGTATACAAATGAATACAGTTCAATACCTCATGAATGTGTTTCATTCCAATTATAAGTACACGATCAGCAGATCTGCCAAGTGTTTACAGTGGTGTGAAAAACTATTTGCCCCCTTCCTGATTTCATATTATTTTGTATGTTTGTCACACAAAATATTTCTGATCATCAAACACATTTAACCATTAGTCAGAGATAACACAAGTAAACACAAAATACAGTTTTGAAATGATGGTTTTTATTATTTAGGGAGAGAACAAAATCCAAACCTACATTAACCTGTGTGAAAAAGTAATTGCCCCTGAACCCAATAACTGCAATCAAGTGTTTGTGATAACTTGCTACGAGTCTTTTACAGCACTCTGGAGGAATTTTGGCCCACTCATCTTTGCAGAATTGTTGTAATTCAGCTTTATTTGAGGGTTTTCTAGCATGAACCGCCTTTTTAAGGTCATGCCATAGCATCTCAATAGGATTCAGGTCAGGACTTTGACTAGGCCACTCCAAAGTCTTCATTTTGTTGTTCTTCAGCCATTCAGAGGTGGATTTGCTGGAGTGTTTTGGGTCATTGTCCTGCTGCAGCACCCAAGATCGCTTCAGCTTTAGTTGACGAACAGATGGCCGGACATTCTCCTTCAGGATGTTTTGGTAGACAGTAGAATTCATGTTCCATTTATCACAGCAAGCCTTCCAGTTCCTGAAGCAGCAAAACAACCCCAGACCATCACACTACCACCACCATATTTTACTGTTGGTATGATGTTCTTTGTCTGAAATGCTGTGTTACTTCTACGGCAGATGTAACGGGACAGTTGCCTTCCAAAAAGTTCAACTTTTGTTTCATCAGTCACCAAGGTATTTTCCCAAAAGTCTTGGCAATCATTGAAATGTTTCTTAGCAAAATTGAGACGAGCCCTAATGTTCTTTTTGCTTAACAGTGGTTTGCGTCTTGGAAATCAGCCATGCAGGCCATTTCTGCCCAGTCTCTTTCTTATGGTGGAGTCGTGAACACTCAATTGAGGCAAGTGAGGCCTGCAGTTCTTTAGAAGTTGTCCTGGGGTCTTTTGTGACCTCTCGGATGAGTTGTCTCTGTGCTCTTGGGGTAATTTTGGTCGGCCGCCCACTCCTGGGAAGGTTCACCACTGTTCCATGTTGTTGCCATTTGTGGTTAATGGCTCTCACTGTAGTTCGCTGGAGTCCCAAAGCTTTAGAAATGGCTTTATAAAATAAAAAAAGAAAAAGAAATGGCTTTATAACCTTTACCAGACTGATCGATCTAAATTACTTTTGTTCTAATTTGTTC